AGACCTCATACCGACGATGGAAGAATTTCAAATGAAGCCATTGTGTCGTCGAACTTAGATCCGATTGAGATGAAATTGAAGACCTGCGCCGTTGATTTTTAATCCGGGCAAATGGTTTTGAATCTGAAGACCTCGTGTCGTCGACCTTAGGTCCGATCGAGATGGTTTTAAATTTGAAGACCTCACGCAGTCGATCTTAGATCCTGGTGGGATGGTTTAAAATCGAAGACCCTACAAGGCCTCGTGTCGTCGACCTTAGGTCCGACCGGGAAGAAAATATCGGCAAATGCCGTCCCGATTTCTTCCTCGATGGGGAGGTGACGTTGGGAGGCTGCCGAAATTTCCTTGAAAATTCTGAACTTAGTGAATTTTTAGAAAATCGCAGATCTCTAATTTTTTTTATAAAATTAGAGAGCAATTAATTTACCGATTGAATCAATTAAATTGCATATGCTCAGGTTTTTTTATATAAATCAGATTTCTATATAAATAAATTTTTTATATATATAAATCAAATTTTTATATAAATTGTGATGGTTTACTTCAAATCAATTTTTTTTGTAAATCAGTTTTTTGATAAATTATATTTTTAAAATCATTTTTTTATGAATGAGCAAAGTCAACCTGATTTCTAATCTAGAAAAAAAAATGATTTGAAACATTGCATATATAAAAAAAAGCTCTTCCACATTTTGGATGACTTCCTTTTCACAAAATTTTGAACTTTCTTGCATGCCGAAATCAAAATGACTTGAAAGCAAATTTCGTGCTAGAGCTAAATTACTATGCGAAGTTCAAAGAGTTGCCCTCTTTGCCTCCTAAGCCAAAGAGCTTGAAGTTATCTACAATGACTCTTTTTAAATGTCAGAATTGTTGGAAACATAAACTCACATTTTTATGATAAAATTTCAATGTAAATTTTATCTTTATAGACATGTATATAAAGCAATAAACTCTCAAACCCTCAAAATCTCTAAACAATTCAAACTCAAATCAAACACAATTCAAACAAAACTCTACAAATTTTTTATGCAAAGCTCCCTACAACAATAAACTGAAGCTTTCCAACAGAACAACAGAATCTCCGAGCTCTCTAAAATCTCTTCTGTACGAGCTCCTGCAACAAATAAATTAAATTCATTTAGCATTACAATTAAAATAATACTAAATTTAATGCTAAAGCAAAAAATTGTTGCAGTAAATTATTTGTACACTGGTGTGAAAAAAAGTAATATATAAAAACAAAAAAGAAACTACTGTAACAAAAGAACACTAGTGTTACAACAACAACTAGACAAACTAGTAGTTACAACTACTAGCAAACAAACAACTAAAAAAACCACAGTGATCTAGTATCAAACAACTATTATCTACTCAAATAATCAATTCTAAACATTGGGCAGCCTCGTTCATAGGAACTTGGTTGTAAGACCCACTACCCGGCAACTTTCGTAGGAAAGTCGTAAGCCCGACATTAGGGGAAAGTTTTAGGTGGAAATTGACCTAACCCCTAAACCCAATTAAACGTCCCGGCCACTTCTAATAAGAAGTCATAAGTCCGACATCTGAGGGAAGTGTTTAGGTGATAATACACCTAGACCTCTCACTTAGGCATCATAGTCTATAGGATTAGGTTGTAAGACCCGCTTTCGGGCAACTTCTTACTGAAGTCGTAAGCCCCACATTTTAGGAAATTTGCTAAATAAATAGTAATTATCCTAAACCCTAAACAATTAAATTTAAACCTATGGGCATCTTAGTCTAAACTATTAAGTTGTAAGACCAGCTTTTCAGGCTACTTCTTAAGGGAAGCCATAAGTCCTACCCAAACAATTAAAATTCTTGGGCATCCTATTCTATAGGAATAGGTTGTAAGACCCGTTTTTGGGCAACTTCTAATTGAAGTCGTAAGCCCCAACGTTTTAGGAAAATTACTAAATAAATTATAATGAACCTAAAACCCAAATAATCTAATTCAAACCTTTGGGCATCCTAGTCTATAGGATTAGGTTGTAAGACCCGCTTTCGGGCAACTTCTTACTGAAGTCGTAAGCCCCACATTTTAGGAAATTTGCTAAATAAATAGTAATGATCCTATACCTTAAATAATCAAATTTAAACTTCTGGGCAGCCTTGTTTATAAGAACTTGGTTGTAAGAACCACTACCCGGCAACTTTTGTAGGAAAGCCATAAGCCCGACCTTAGGGGGAAGTTTTAGGTAAAATTGACCTAATTCCTAACCCCCAATTAAAACCTTCGGCCACTTCAAATAGAAGTCGTAAGTCCGACCTCTGAGGGAAACATTTAGGTGATAATACAGTCCTAGACCTCTCAAATGGGCATTCCAGTCTATAGGGCTAGGTTGTATGACCCACCATTCGAGCCACTTAGCTTAAAGTGCTAGGTTGTAAGACCCATCATTATGCAATTTTTAAGGAAGCACTAAGACCTAATCCAAATCCAATTCAAGCGAAATTCAAACTTTTGGGCATCTTAATCTAAATGATTAAGTTGTAAGACCCGCTTTTCAGGCTACTTCCTAAGGGAAGCCATAAGTCCTATTCAAATAATTAAAACCTCCGGGCAGCTTCACTTTAGAGTTAGGTTGTAAGACCCATCCTTGGGCCACTCATAAATAGAGTAATAACCGGGCTACTTTCTACGAAAGTTGTAAGTCCCAAACTAAATCTAAATCCCTGGGTTACTTTCTACGAAAACCGTAAATATCAATCTAAATTCAAACTCCTGGGCAACTTCTAAGGAAGCCATAAGCCCCAACCCAAATTAAATCAAACTAAAATCCACACATGATATCTTCAGTCTACTCGGGATCCCTGAGAGGAGGCAACCCATGGCTGCTAATCAGATTCCCTGGACACTACAGTCAATGATTGTTAGTGTTGGTAGACTGAAAACTATGGTATACTCGGGACGATTGAACCATGGGATCTTGATCGGGTTTACCTCCATTTTTCACTATTGAGACTAAAATTACCTAAAAAATTATTCATCTTTAATCGAGAGTTCTCTCTTACGTTGTAAGAGGGGTAATTAACTAGTAAGAACCCCAGATCTATAAACTCTGATATCACAATCAGGGGAAATCTGGTTAACTTCAATCTGACTTAAGGGAAATGGAATCCTACGACTATAAAGTGGGATTCGTGCATTCGTGCTTTTTTTTTTGAGCCAACAATGCTTATATTAAGTCATTTTTTAAACATACTATATTGTTGTTGCGTCTCCATTGTCCGGTGAGTAGCAAAGACAAAATTATTGAAATATTAGTCCTTAAATAGAGGAAAGTAAAAATTTTGTGGGCTTGTGCTTAAAGTAAAAGTCGGAAACAGAGCTTGATATTTACTAGATCTAGATGAACTTATATAGGATCATTTAGCTTCTTTGTATGAAGGCATGCAAATTCCTTAATTGCTGAACAACATTAATTGGATAGTTGGGCCCCTTTCACGCAATTATAATGGCAATAGGAGAGTACATAAATCATTGATTTGCCTTAATTGCAAATAAAACAATTGAAGCATGATTAGGTTAAAAATAACAAGAAGTTTTATTTAAAGAAACATTAATGCATATGAAAATATTATAGCATAAATCCCAAGCTGCAAAAAATAATTTGAATAACTCAAAGAAATTATTTGTTCTGTTTCTAACAATGATTATAGAAAATTTCAATCAACTAGAAGTCAACCCTAAAGGTCAAGAAGAGTATGTAACTATTAAAATATCAAAAATGACTCAAGTGTGTTAATATTCGCAAGTACATTAGCAAATAAACCAAATTGATAAATCAATTAAAATATACACAATATCAAGTTGGTTGATTGAGCTTAGGTCGAGGTCCTAAGTTTGATTTTGCCGCCACCTAGTTGATCCAAGTATCCTTGTGAGTCATCATCATTCGATCATCTTGCCTGTGATGTTACATTATAAGAGTCATTTAAATGCGATCGGTAGCAATATCTATGATGAATTACTTGTAAACCCAAGATAACAAGATTATACTTTTCAAGATAGTTTGAATACTCCTATTAAAGTTTAAAATGACCATTGAAAGCAAGCGGGCCTTCCAATGGATGCAAGACTAATTTTGTGTTAATTCATGTGGTTGGCACAAAGCCATTAGGTCTATCAAATCAATCAAGTTGCCTGGCTTATTAGGCAAAGTCTTAAGACCAACCTTTTGGGTTGACTCTAATATCTGAGTCGTAAATTTCATATTCGAGCATACCAAAAGTTGACATTGTAAGCCTTGACCTTATGTGTAACTTGTAGATAGAGCAATAAACTCCATTCTAATTAATTTCGGGCCTTCAAACTAATTCGGGTAGGCACAAGCTCAATAAACACATTTAATCAAAATTCAGGGCTTTCAACAGATGCATGTCCCAAAACCAACTCATACTCAAACTAGTTTTTAGGATAATGAGTCCGCTATTCAACTAAAATCAAAAGTAACCACGATTCACATATATTTACTATGGCATGCTCGGTGGAATACTTAAAAGAGGCAACTCATAGTTACTAATTAGATTCTTAGACATTGCAATTTATGGCTCTGTAGTGTTAGAAGATTTAGACAATCAGTATTCACCGAATAACGACATCATGAAATCTTGATGGAGTCTTCTTATATTCCCCTAATCATCCCTCGTCATTTCAATGAAAATATAAACATGAAACTTGAAGCTTAAAAACGAGCCTAAGTAATTATTTTTAATCGAGAGTATTCTCCCTCGAGTATGGGGGATAATTAACTAAGGGCCTTTCACCCTTAGGTATATCTAAATAAACTCTGGTTTGAACATAAAGGTAATTCTGATTAAACTTATCTAATTTACCTCGTTGAAAATGAACTACCTTATTTTGAAGAGAGTGCTTTTTCCGAGCGATGAATTGCAAATGATCATGCTTGTTGAATCGTTTTTGTTGCTTGTTAGCTTATGCCTTGTACTAACTGTTGGTGTTTTTAACTTTTCAGATGAAAATCAAAGGAAGCGGCCTGATTGAGAAAATGAACTAAGGATATAAATGATGTTTTTGTAAAAGAATATTTATGATGGAAAAAAACTTCATTGTTTGTAAATTATATAATTGTTGATGTAAATCATGATGAGACTTAATGTAATTTATATGAACTTAATGAGCGTTTGATAGATTATATTTTAGCAGTAGTCTATTTGTGTGTATGGTGAACATGAATTTAGGTAGGTGAACGACATCTTATGTTGTTAGATGATCTGTTTTTATGGTCTTAGAAGATATTATACTTAAGTTATGCTAAAAATTAATATAAAAGATATAGATTGAGATTTTGTTTGGGATAGATTCTTACTGTTTTATTTTTCAGATTACAATCATAATTTCTATTTGATCAGTATTATTTCAATTCTTCTATTAGGAACTTGTTTTCTATTATTTTCTTCATGATAGTTTTACAATTATCTTTATAAAAGATTATAGTGGTTCTAAATGAACCTTGTATCTTATAGGAACAAGCTGTAGCAATGAGTATGAGTTCAATTAGGAGTTGACATAAGGTTTACATGAAGTATATAAGACATCTACAAGTCACCTTGGTTTGTTGGGTGGTAGTTTTGTCTATCAATCAAGAAGTTTTGTGTGTGAGTTTATCTTAATTGACTTAAATGTAAAAAAAGGGTACATAAGACATTAGCATACATGCATGTTCGCTAGATATATATCTCAATAATATTTTGTTAAACATATATCATAAATATTTACACTTCTCTCGTATTTGCCCAGCTTGTTCTGAAGCCTGCCTTTGAGGAGAAATTATTCTGGCGGAGTTTGGATGTAGCTCTGCGCCTGAACTCCAATTAAATTGCGTCACGTGGATATTCAATATGAATTTTGTATTTTATTTGCCTTGTTAGCCCTATCGGCCCATTCAATGAGGATTTCAAATTTTATGTCTTGTCAGCCAGATCGATTTGGCCAAATAAATCTTGAATTTGCAGGAGATCAAAAGTCTTGGAGCCTGTTCACTTTGCATCATTGCATTCACTGTTCACTTTCAGCTTAGACAATCTAGATGGTTCACTGTTCAATTACATTCAAGCGTAAAGTTTATCATCTACCAACAAAATTAGTCAATCATTCTCGTTCAGTTCATCTTTATAGAGATACTTATTTTTTCTTATCTTTCAAAATGGGTTTTAGGGTTTAACGTTTAGGGTTTACTCTATATTTATTGCGTATGAACTGTATATTAAATGTATATTTATTGTGTATTCACTAGTATCGACCCTGTATCAGTTGTCTTCCATATTCACAATTATGTTGCACAGTTTTCAAATTTATATGCGTTATTTTTGTTCATTTTGTGCATCTTTTTGAATTGCATATTCATTGTATATTTATTGCGTATTTAATGGTATTGACAGTGTTCCAATTCTAAAATTATGTTGCACAATTTTTAAATTTCTATGAGTTATTTTTTGTTGATTTTGTGTATCTTTTTCGAACTGTGTATGTATTGTGTATTCACTGCATATTCACTTGTATCGACTCTGTATCGATTGCCTTCCATTTTCAAAATTACGTTGCACATTTTTTAAAATTTTATGAGTTATTTTTTATTCATTGTGTGTATATTTTTTGAATTGCGTATTTAATGTGCATTCACTTTGTATTCACTGCATATTTTTCTTTGATATCTGTAGATGTATGTGTATGTATGGCCTATCACTTATCATTGTTTTGTATTGACATTTAGAAGTATTTGCGACTCTTTCGTAGAGATAATAGACAAGGATGTCAAGAACACCTTGAATAAATTACACATTTATCAATTTCTGAAGTTCCTGACATTTTTAGCAAAATGTTCCTTTGATATACGAGCTGCTCAAATTCTAGGATATTTCTCAGCAATCATTTATCAAGGGTCATTTGCTAAAATTTACATGTGATGAAGTGGCTAAGATCACTGGTTTGCTAAACACAGGTGCTAAGATCATATTATAGAGCGAGCTGCTTGTAGAATTCACATCAACTGATATTAAGACCGAGATAATAGAAATGAACATATCAATTGACTCGTCCGTTATGTTAAAGAAATTTATTATGTGTTTGTTGTCAATTTTATTTTTCCCCCTTTATAACCTCAAAACCCCAATAAGGCTCATTACTATTGCAAGTAATATATATATGAGTTCTCATCTATTAACTAAGCTGGGACCTTAAAGGAATTTTTAGTTAATGAATTCAATAAAATTGTCATGAAGTTTGCTTTAAATAAGCCACTGGGTTATATAAATGCTTTTATATCTCTACTAATTGTGAGGGCTAAAAGTATCTAAGTATCATTCTAATTATTAATTCATCTTACTAAATTCATTAGCTAATATTATATTTAATCTTTTACAGATTTAGTTTCTTGAGCGCTTTTCAATAAATGCCTTAGGTGCCCTAACTTAAGACCCTGTTTCCTTTGATGGGGCGATACAAAAGTATTTTATTATGACAAAAATGTCACAAATTTGTTTTCTATGCTAAAGGAATGGTATGTATGCACACATTTTAATTAATGCCCCTAAAATATGAGATTTGCTAGCAATAAAATAATTTATGTGCATATTTTTTATATCTTCCAGGGAGTAACTTAGGAGGGAGCAGACAACCTATTTGCTGACTTCACTTCCATCAAGGGGGGTCAATGGGTCGGGTTTAAGTCCTTCCCGAATTGACTCGGGTTTAAACGGGTTGACCCTAACCCGAGAGAAACATGTCAGGAATTCCAACCCATACCCGACTTGTGAGGGTTGCCAAGTTGACCCGACCCGACCCAACATGAGAACCCAAAATAGTGCAATAGACATGCATGATTACGCATACGTAGTGTGAGCACAGACGTGTCGATTTTGATAAAGTTTCATTTTATCTGTTGAACTTTGTCAATTCTATCAACTTACCGACAAAAGATCGGGTTTAATGTCGGCTTTATGTCTTTGTTGGTAAATTTTCTTTATTATAGACATTAAAGGCCTAATATGAATGTATGAAGCAAATATCTCGGTCGACATCGTGACCGTATATTTGTTTGATAATTCGAGCCATGTCAATTTTTATCTATTAATATATAAGAATCAGGATCGAACTTAAGTTCATTTTTTAACCCATGTTGCATCCTCGTATGTCTTATATGTGCATCATGCTTGTTGGGGCTCATGCGGGTAATCATATTTTAATGCATGATGGAAGGTATTTTTGCATTGATAAGCCATGCAAATGACACCTGTTATTATGTATGCAGGATTTTGGTTCTGGAATTGGTGGATGCCTTGTGTTCACTTGTATGTTTATTATGAAGGTGGCATGATGTTGCATTTTATTTATTACGTATAGGCAGTTCAATTTAGCTCACTTCATCTTCTGCATTTTGCCTTTTTTCCTCAGCATTCAGCCTACAGAAACCTATGGAAGTGTGCTTCAGCCTGCAAATACACTGTACTATATATCAGGGGCCTTTCACCTATCGCTTGCAAGCAAGTTGATCTATTTGGTGTGATAGACTGGCATTGCAAATCTGCTTCCTCAACTTATCAATGGCCACCAGTTTTTACTATGTGTTATTTCTTGTTGTTAATCATTGCCATTGTGCATATGACAAATCTTCAATTGTTGCTAGCAAGCATTTGCCTTTACCATAATCATGTATCTTATGCCAGCTCTTTGTTGACATATGTGGTCAAGCTGTGTTGAATGCAGTTCTTCTAATGCTACTTGTAGGATACCGATGTATTCACTGCATGAACATCATAGCGTTTATTACATGTTGCATTTATATGTTTGTAAGAGACTTTGTTATTTATAGGCAAAATGACATGTTCATTTGTGTGTCGATGCTAGTTGTCGGTAAAGTTATATTCACCTCCAATCTCTTCATACACGTTGGCTAGTGAGTCGCTATGTTCAATGCACATCAATCTTCCAATTTTCATTGGAGGTCAATGCATTTTCCCGCATGCTACTATTATATGTTAGTTGAGCTTCATTCACCACTGATTTATCCTTATATGTTGACTAACGAGTAGCTCCATTCACACATACTTGCTTCATATTCGTAGGAGGATGTCGTATGCATCTGAAAGCTGGTCGACATTGACCGGCAAGATGTCATAGCATTCATTGCATGTTAATGAGAGCTATTGGGTGAGCTTCATTCATCGCTGACCCCCCCCAGCGTGCGCACACACACTCATTTTTTGGTTAGCAAGTTATTGTATTTACTTGCACGTCTTGTACTGTCACCTATAAACACTTACAAGCTCTTTGTAGTGGCTTTTAAATGGACTGTTGTGTGTGTCATAAGCTCACGCTTATGCTTGTAAGCCAATTATCCTGCTTACTACATGTATTGCATGCACTTATGAGGGTTCATGTTCACTGCAGATTCTCGGCCCTTGCTTGTAGATAGCATGTGCATTTGTATCAACAATGGATCTGTCGTACTTACGTCATATCTACTATTATTATCCACAAATAACTCCATTAGTCGTCATCGCACATAGGGAATGGTCGTGTTCATCGTAACCCTCTTATTTGTGCTTGTGAAGAGCTCTTCATGTTTGTCGCATATTGTTTGTCACCATTTTCCTTCATTAGTTGCAAGGGTTCGATGTATTTGCTTGTGTTTTGATGTTGACCATAGAGCGTTGTTGCATTCATTGCATATCCTTCATGTCTTACTCATGAGTATACCATCCATGATTGAGATGAATTGCTTATACTTAGATCATGTATTCCTCTCAATCAATTGATTATCACCTGTTGATGTTTGCTTGCAAGCAAGTGGTGATTTGGTGCCTTATCCATTATGAGTCCCCTAATTGTTCATTAATGTTCATTTGAATGTAGCTTGACCCACATTTTTTAGGATTTATATATTTAATTTGATATTGCATTTATTGATTTATATTTCAATTCCTTGTAGTTGTATTCAAGTCCGGTTCCTTGCATTTTTATTCAAATTTATTGTGAATTGTTTAAGTTCAAGTACACTATCACTGAAAAATTCAACAGCCTCCCGATGTTTCCCCGTTTAGGGGAAATCTTGGAAGCTAGATTTTCTTGTCACGCTAGAGAAAAGTGTGTGCGGTAGGTATACATATAATTAAGAGGGAGAGAGGGATGGTTGTATGGGTTTGGATTTGTATTGAACTTTAGGAGTTTTGGGTTACAGGGAATTGTTTGAGTGGGCTAAAATTTGTGGGCTGAAAGATTGCGGAGAATGGGCTGATTTGGTGGGCTAGTTGGGTGGTTAGGTATGCTGAATGGAGTTGGCGTGGGCTGTTGTCGGAAGAGAAGAGACAAAGGAGGTCGGGCTTCAGGCAGTCAGATGGGCTGCGGCCTGCGGCTATACGCAGGCGGGGTCCTACGATCGGGCAGTAAGGAGGAACCAGGTGGTTCTGCTCGGGCTACACGTACAGGGAGAGGGGTCGTTGGGGTTCGGCGGCCGGAAGGTTGGGATAGAAAGGGCGTTGGCTTCGAAGTTGTCGGTGCCGGAGACAAGAGGAGGACGGGATTTTGTGTAGGGATCGGCGGGAAGTTTGCGATTCCTGTAGGGGAATCGGCGGGAGATAGGGCAGGGTTCGGAGGCTTCGGTTTGTCTTTTGGCTGAGAGAGACGGAGAAAGCAGGGGATGCTTTTAAAGCACCATTCTCCTTAGGATTAGGGTTGTAAAATAAATTTGTTAATGATAAAATTAAAGTAATTCTTTGCAAATCTAATTCTGTTTACGCATTAAACAGGAAATCTGAGTTTCAATGGCTGAAAAATTTGCTTAAGAATTTTAAACTTTTTTATTTTGAAAGAATAATTAATAAACCAGAAAATGTATTAATTGTTCAAACTTGTGACTTACAAGAAATACCTTTCTTCAAATCTGCTTGGTTCCCATTTTTTTTTTCTTTTTTTTTCTTAAAATTAAATTATTTTTGAAAACCAATCAAAATACTTTTTTTCTTTTTTACATTTTCTTTAGATATATTCATTTTTTAAAAATAGAGATCATCATCGGTGCTGTCCATCATCAATGACATGTAAATTTCGATACAAATAAAACAATACTTATTTAAAATGCTAAATATATTTTTATTTGATATTAAAAAATAGAAAATGATCCCAAACAACCCTCAAGCAAGAGAAATTATACTGTGCGGACATCAGACCATTCAGAGTAGAATCAGAGCACATCACGTCATCTGGTACACAACAAAGAGTGATATGACGTGCTCTGATTCGCCTTCGAACGACATCCGGGGTGTTCGCACGTAATAATTTTTCCTCAAGCAACATTTTTTTCACAAATATTTTACACCATCTTAATCATCCTATTTGCATTGGATGCCCTAGAAAAAAAAAATCCTAAATACATAAAAATCAGTTAGTTTTGTTACATCATAGTTCTGATCCAAATTCCAAAAACAAACTCCTCTGCATCCACCACAAACCCTCCCCTTTGCCAAACAAACTGGGAAACGCACTAATCTTCAAAGATCAAAAATAGCAACCACACTAACCACAGCACAACAACAAGCTATCAAAGAGGGAAACTACGAAACCCATATAACTGATACATCTCCCCTCCTCTTCTCCTCTTTTCCGCCTGAATTTGCATTCTTATAATGCTAATTGTATTATGATTCTGGGCATCAAGCCTGCAGCTTTCTGCTGTGCTACAGGGACGAAGCACCTGGAGAGTGAGATGCCATTGGAAAATATGCTGGACCTGCAGAGAGTAAAAGCCCCCTGTGAAAGCAATGAAGCTGGAACTTCACTTGTGGCTGTCGCCATTGACAAAGGCAAGAGCAGCCAGAGTGCTCTCAAGTGGGCTTTGGACAACCTCGTCCACCGCGGTCAGACCATTACGCTTCTGCATGTTAACACTAAAGGTCAGTGAAAGTAAACCCATTACATAGCTCATCTTAGGAAACAATCTAAACTCTAAACTATCGAGATATTGTTCGCTTTAGCCTAAAAGTTTCACGGTTTTGTACTATTGGTATAACTTTTCAGTAGGTCACCCATCCTAGAATTGCACCGAGATGAGCACGCTAAACTGCGACTATTATGCAAAAGGAGCATCGATGTTTAAGAGTTTAACTTCTTTTAATTAAAGGGTTTCACATCTTAGCCTAGTGATGCATGATTGGGAGCTTCAGCTTTTGAAGGATATATATGAGTTTACGATTGAATTCATTAAAAAAAAAAAAACTCATTAAGATTTTTATATAATATACAAGTAAAAATTTGAGTGTTAGATATGCATATACAAAGGGATTCAATATTTCGCAAACATATGATTGAGTTTGTGTGTATTTATATGCATGCTACTAAACTCATTTGCATATACATATCTAATGTTTGAATCTTTATATTTATTTGTTTGATAGCATAAACTCTAAATTGCATCTAAATTTGTTTATGAAAAAAATGAATTTCATTTTACATAAGTTGATGTTAGTGATATTTCTTATGTTATTTATATATTATGATATTATATAAGTAAATATAATTATTTTTTGTGCTAGATTTCCCATTAAACTTTTGTATGTACATATATCACTTTAGATAAGTATTTGATGGATTTAAACTCATATCATACATTTCTTATGTATATACAATTTTTATATTTTGATATTTACTTATAAAGAAAATAATCAAAATGATTCATTGATTTCTATGAAAGATCAAAATAATTTTCAACTATATTAAATGATCATTTTAATTCCTTAATTTTTTAAAAAATTAAAATAGTTCAATAGTGAGACTATTTTGATTCCTCTTTAAGGAATTGAGGGACCAAAGTAGTCCTTCAATATAATTATAAATTATTTTGATATTTCATAAATAATCAATGAACCATTTTGATCATTTTCTCTTTATTTATATAACATGTTTGTGCCTTTATCACATCAAAACATATACATGAAAAACTATATTTCACATAAAAAAGTTAATATTACGATATTTTTAATATGATTTAAAGATTTGGGTGTTATTTAAGTAAAATTCAAAATTTAGATATTAGATATATAAATATATACAAATTATGTGGTATATATCCATAAATCCTCCATAGTATTTTTGATATTATTTAGAAATTAAGATATTATATAATCAAATATTAAAATCTATATATTAAATGCATAAATATCTATAATCTTGCTAGTTATTAGTTTGCCTTCTTCAAATAGTGCACTTCCACTTCCATTATCTCTCATAAAAACATGTTACCAGGAAATGGAGCTGCTACTGCGCAGGCCATGGAGGTTTTTATTCCCTTCCGCTGCTTCTGCACCCGAAAAGATGTGAGTATCAATTCTCTCTCTCTCTCTCTCTCTCTCTCTCTCTCTCTCTCTCTCTCTCTCTCTCTATCTTTACATATAAACAGAACTTAATGGTACCAAAAATGTATTTGTACATTCATATATTTCGATGATAAACCGTGAATGAAACAGCTGCGCCAGCACATACTCACAGAAAATGGAAATGGCAGATGCACTGTCCCTGAAATTCTTGGTTTGATCTGCTAGAAGACTCTTAACTTGTTCACAGGTGAAATGCAAGGATGCAATACTAGAAGGCACTGACATAGCTAAGGCCATCGTCGAGTTCCTATTGCAAGCTGCTTCCATAGACAAGCTGGTCATCGGCTCCCAATCCAAAGGAGCATTCGTTAGGTGAAAACTTTTAGGTTTTTGAACTTCTGTCTAGCTTTCAGTGGAAGCTTAATTTCGTGTGCTTATTATGGTTTCTTTGTTCTTTGAAGATTGAAGAGTAGCTGCGATGTTCCGAGCAGCATTTCTAAGAGCGCACCTGACTTCTGCTCTGTATATATTATCTCGAAAGGAAAGGTGACTTCGGTGCGCAATGCCGTTAGGCCATCACCACCAGTTTCTTCTCTTCGAGGTCAAATACTTACACAGCCAAGTATCAAGCTCCAAGTCGTTGAAAGGCCTCCTCGTAAGTTGAGTGCTGGAAGTATATTAATGGATCTGCATTTTGGAAAAAAAGAATATATTTTTATTTTTCAATCTGCAAATGCTTTCAAAATCCCTTCGAAGTTCTTCTCACACTCGAAATAATTCAAATCAAGCTCATCATTTTCTGAAGAATTTTTTTTTTTACTACAAGCAATCAAAGGAGCTTTAATGTCCGTTGGGCAAAAGTAGGATTTGTGAAGTCTGTAAATTCAAATTTACTAAACGTTGAGAGGATTAAAATTTAAAAAACTATATATTAAGAATGAGTATTCTTAAATCTTTTATTTATTTCAGGTTTTAAAATTTGTGAGAAGAAAAACTATTTAATTTCTCATTTTGGCAGAATGCCTAAAACGAGACGAGCAATATATTCATGGAACTCTGCTCTGCCCGTTTCCAGGTGACTTGATTAGTGAGGAAAGGGAAATAATAAGGTCGCCATTCACTCGATATGGACCAAACCAGAGATCTCGTATGGAAATCTCAGTGCCAGAATTTGATATATCATTTGTCAGCTCAGAAAAATCATTTCCTAGCTCTGGAAGGCCTAGTTTTGATCGCTCCCCCTTACAACCAAGGGCCTCCAATGCATCAAGCAGCTTGGAAAGTAGCTTGGGGTTCATGGGCACTCCAAATAGGTCGGAGAAGCTTTGTGAGTACTTCAGTAACTCGTACTCACAGGAAAACCTTCAAAACATGGTGAAATTTTCTTCTAAGCTCAGTAAGCAGAAGAAGATTAAAGACTGCACAATTGTTCACCAAGTTTGCTTTTCTCTTTCAGGAAGATGTAGAAGCTGAAATGAAGAGACTGAGATTAGAGTTAAAGCATACCATGGACATGTACAGCAATGCCTGCAGGGAAGCAATCAGTGCTAAGCAAAAGGCAATGGAGCTCCACCGGTGGAAGATGGAGGAAGAGAACAGGTTAGAGAAGGCAAGGCTTGCGGAAGAGACTGCACTGGCTATGGTAGAGAGGGAGAAAGCCAAAGCTAAAGCAGCAATAGAGGCGGCTGAGGCGTCGAAAAGAATTGCAGAGCTTGAAGCAAAGAAGAGACTGGATGCAGAGATGAAGGCAGTGAAAGAGGCTGAGGAGAAGAACAAAGCACTGAATGCATTGCACAATGATATTTTAAGGTATCGGAAGTACTCAATAGAGGAGATTGAGTTGGCCACTGACTGCTTTGCAGAAAGCCAGAAGATTGGAGGTGGTAGTTACGGTCCTGTGTACTTTGGCCAACTTGATCACACACCGGTCGCCATTAAGGTTCTTCGTCCAGATGCTTCTCAAAGTAGATTACAATTCCACAAAGAGGTATGATGTGTTAGATTTCTTAGAGTTCTTATATTTAAAGATTCTATAACACTACATAAAATCTTTAATATTTATTAATATAATATAACTTCATGAGAATATTTTTATTTTATTGATCTTTTCTGTCATCTCTGAAGAAGTTATTATCTGCGGAGTCTGGTTATATTCAGACTCTAATAAAAAATATGACACATGTTCTTGTACACAATGTGTACGATACATAATATACATACTGTGTACCTAGTTGTACACAGTGTGTACATACTATGTACAAGAACACGTGTCACATTTTTATTGAAGTCCGGATGTAACTCTATGTCCGAACTACACACGTAATAATTTCTCTCTGGCACAAATTCAGCAAGCCGTTGCAGGTATGTGTTAGATTTGTTAGAGTTACAATTTTCTCATGCAATGGACACTTTGCTCACATCTGAAACCAGGTTGAAATATTGAGCCGCATAAGGCATCCAAACATGGTTCTCCTCCTTGGCGCTTGCCCTGAGTATGGGTGCCTTGTCTATGAGTACATGGCAAATGGAAGCCTTGATGACCGCCTCTTCCGGCGAGGAAACACGCCACCAATTCCATGGCAGCACCGGTTTCGCATCGCTGCAGAGATAGGCACAGGCCTCCTCTTCCTCCACCAAGCAAAGCCAGAGCCATTAGTCCACCGTGAGCTCAAACCAGCCAACATCCTCCTCGACCACAACTATGTGAGCAAGATCAGTGATGTAGGACTTGCTCGTCTTCTTCCACCTGCAGTTGCAGAAAATGTTACTCAGTACAGAATGACCTCTGTTGCTGGAACATTCTGCTACATTGATCCTGAGTATCAGCAAACTGGCATACTTGGAATAAAGTCTGATGTGTATTCTCTTGGGATTGTCTTGCTACAGCTGATCACTGGAAAGCCTCCAATGGGGATTACATACCATATGCAGCGAGCCATTGATAATGGAATGCTTAAGGATATCTTGGATCCTACAGTAATGGACTGGCCAATGGAGGATGCCAAGAACTTGGCTCACATAGCACTTAAGTGTGCAGAGCTGAGGCGCAAGGATCGTCCAGATCTAAGCAAAGTAGTCTTGCCTGAGCTCAACAGGCTGAGAAAACTTGGGGAGAGCAATATGCAGAATTGCACCATGGGAAATGGCTTACATTCCTCACCAGCACAATCTCAGATCTCCATACAGGCATGTTCTTAAACACTTGAAACATGTAGGATTGGGTCATAAATTAATTTGCTTGGAAACTAAGTGTTAGAATTGAGTTTGCTACATGAGTTCATGTGTTTGTTACATGTCACATTCATTTTTTAGTATTTATATATATATAAAAAAAGTTTAGCACATAAGGGTGTCAATTTTTGACACGACCCCAGACCCGGAAAAATCCGGGTTCGGGTTGACCTGGTTAGCAAATGGGTCAGATTCGGGTTGACCCGGAAACCCGAAATCAACTCGACAATGACCTGAAAGTCGGAGTCAATTCCAAATTTCCGCCCCCACTCGCACAGGCCCGCGAACTTGCCTCTGTCATGCGCTCGCGATTCGCGACTTAGCCAGCACCCGGACGACTCCGCCCACACTCTCGGACCTGCGGACCAGCTGGCTCTACCGCTGCCGTGCGCTCGCTTCTCAAACTCCGTCCGCACTCGCGATCCCGCATTCCCACGTACTCCTTACGCTCGCAACTCGGACTCCTCCCGCACTCGCGGACTGGCGCCACTAGCTCAGGCGCTCAACTCGCGGCCTCGTGCTGCTTCAACCAAATCTACTAAATCTAGGTCGGTTCGGGTCAACCCGACAACCAGCGTGGGTCAGGTATGGGTTGAAATGTCCAACCCATTTGCAAAAACGGGTTGGGTTCAGGTTGACCTGTTTAGATCCGGATCAACTCAGGTTCGATCCGAATCCGACCAGTCGACCCAAATTGACACCCGTGACAGTGATATATGCCTCTATAAAAAGAAAACTAATACTAATATTTCTTGCAGGACTTCTTAAGCGGACCCCTAAATGGACAGTCAGGGTATGAAAGCTCCAGAAGCAGATCAAGTGTATGATCAGCGACAGAAAAACAGATCAGTAAAGCCAAAGAATGAAACTGGAGCTCTGAGAGACTGAAGCTTCGTGGACCCAAATGAGATGGAACTTGAGAAAAGTAAAAATGTTATTGTTTTGTAGTTGATAATTATTGCAAGGATGCTAAAAAAGAAAAGATTTTGGCATTTTTGATTTGTTGGACATTTAAGTTGATAGCAAAAGAGCCCTGGGCTGATGTGATTTTTGCAATGAGCATCAATGCCAAGTTGTATTAGGAATTGTAGAGAAAGGCCTATAAATAAATCTTATGGAGCTATGCATACTAATTAGTTTCAAATTATAATACAAGATCTATATTTAATGATTGGATAGAATCATTATTCTTTAAGCCAAAATCAAAGGATCATAAATATTTATGAAAATACTTAATCAAATTTGTTGTAGACTATTTGGAAAGAAAAAAAGTTTTAGATATTTAGGTTAGTTACCTTACATTAATGTTTTTTTTGTGTGTGGACAATTAGAGGATTCGAACATAGAGTCGCGTGGAAGGAAAAACTTCGCTCAACCAGCAAGTCGCATGCACTATCTCTATTATGCAACTTAGAAAGCAACATTTTAGAAAGCTGTCTGAAAAGTAAAACTTTCATAGTTTAAATGATTGATGTCTGAAAAATAAAACAATAAAAAAGTTATCCCAAGTAAATCCTAAGAAGATCAACTTAATCCGAATGGATTTAAGAGCTTGACTAAGCTCTAGCACTATATTTCATCACCAGCTCACAAGAAATATGGATAAGCCATTGAAACCATGGAAGATCCACTCAGGAAAAGTGTTTTGGATCGTTATATATAATAGAGGGGACTGACATTTTATCATTAGTGTAGTTTTCTACAATCATAACAAACAATAACAATCATGAAGCCAACATTTGTGTGACATCTCACGAGCCATTAGGGCTGCAAACGAACCGAGCCGAGCCGAGTATGTGAGTGTTCATTTAATATCAACTTGTTCAAGTTTGTTCGAGCTTTAGCATTTGTGTTCATGTTTGGTTCATTTAAATTAAGGAGTGTTCATGTTCGATTCATGTTCGTTCGTTTAGTGTTTATCGAGGTTGTTCGCGAACATATTTAACGAATTTTTTTAACTATCAAATAAACATGTTCATGAACATATCTATGAACAAACACATTTATAATAAAAACAATTGTCTATGTAACAAAAGTAATTATTATTTATATATTTTTTTTAATTTTATAATCAAATATTAATTATTTTTATCGAGCTTAATCACGAGTTCAAAATCGAACATGAATCGAGATTTTATTGAGTTTCTTATCGAGCTTAATGTCGAGCTTGTTCACGAACTTCAAATGATGTTGTTCGCGAACATAAATGAGCAGAATGCATTAGTGTTCAAGTTTGTTTATTTAAGAATCGAGTATTTAAAATATTGTTCAAGTTTGTTTGTTTAGTTAATTAAACGATCGCAAACGAGCTTTAATCAAACCGAACAACGAGTAGCTCGCCAAACGTTTGGTTCGCTTGCAGCCGTACGAGCCATTACATGGCAGGAAGAATGGTTCATCATTATATTCAAGCGACATAGAAGAAAAAAATATACCTAACCCTCAATTCATAGAAGAAAGAAAAAATAAAGATGTACTTAGAAAATCAAGATTATGGGTATTAATTTGGAGTGTCGGGTTGAGTTTGGAATGATACGAAGTTAACAATACCTAAATATTCTTCACATAAATAAAATTAATTTATTCAAACAAAATTTAATTATTTTCAAGGTATATATATATATATAGCACTTATATCTTCCACTACATATTATCATTATTTGTCAATAATCTTGACTATAATTTTGCAAAATAGACATAAAATTTAAGCTTCGTTTAAAACGGCTTTCTTAAAATTTCTTAAAATAATTTTTTAGTTCAAAAATTTTAATGTTTTACTAAAAAAATTATTTTAAGAAGCAATAAGAAAATCATCCCAAATAAACCTTTATATACTGTTACAAACCAACAAAGCTCTTAACACTGCTAATCAGCAGGCAATTGGTCCAATAGCCTCTCCCAAGTTAGGGACTTCTCGGGGCTTGTATTCATCAAGATAGTCTTGAGGTCCCCTATCTCCATAAGCTTCTCTTGAAATCTGTACTCTGGCGAGAGAACGATTTTCTGTGAAGAGAAACTTAAATATTACTACAACAAATTGGAAGAAAGAATAGAACTCCACAAGTTTGTGTTTAAAGTTTCGTTTGGGACAATTTTTTTATTGCAAATTTTTAGTAAAAAAATAAAAAATTTAAACTATAAAGCTACTTTACGAAGCAACAAAAAATCGTCCCAAACAAAACCTAAAATAAGTAACTCGAATACGGAAATACGAAGCTCATGCGCAAATAGACCTTTGATATCCACAGCAAGTAAGATGCTGCATGCTGAGCCTGAGTTCGAGCATCATCGAATTCATCAGCTGGAATGTTAAGGCAAGTACGCACAAGTTCCATTTCTTCCCCGAGGAAACAATGTAAGGCTGAAATCATTTCCAGCTGAACTTTACATGGAGAGCCAATGTCAATAGGATTGGTGATGCGACTTATCAAATAATAAGACAAATGTCGACGATGAATCCACAAGGCCTGTAACAAGAAAAAACACTCCAGCAATAAAAGAGTAAGCTATAAAAAATGCATCAGATCTTCAAGGTTAAACTAGTACAAATTTTAATCATCCACGGATTGTTAGAAATGCATTTCTTCAATTTCTTATCAACCAAATTAATTCATGAGGTCAGGTTTTGCTGATTCTGCCATCCTTAGATGATCTTATTTAGTCAAGTTAAACAAACCATTCAAATTATATTAACAGTTTACTAGTCCTTTATCCAGCAGAAAAGTGCGTATCAAAGGATCAAACGATTTTCTTAAGTAAATAAATTAATTCAGATGAAAAGAAAAAGAAATCTCATCATAATTGACGAATCATATTAAAGCATAAAAAATAACATTTAAACAAATGTAAATTATATATAACCATCTTTTATTTACCACTCGATGGAGAAAAATGCACATATCAAAGATACATGCCACAATTTTCAAAAATTCAACGGGACTTAGTTAGCTTTAAATAAGAAATCGGAAGTTCACGAGGATGAGTTTTATTATCCAGAATTAAATAGGAAAATTTAAAAGAAGTATCATTTTTACCATTTCAGGCCAATTTGGCGCGGCGGTCGGGTTCTTCCCACCACCGCGTCATTCCAGCTATTCAGACCATACCTGCATGCTATTTGTTTGGGGCGATTGCAGCACGCGTTGCATCACGTGCGGGCAGTCGTCCCAAACAAATCCTTCACCTCATCTCTAGCATCAAAAGCTATTTTTTATGAGCGCAAGTCAGATTAAAAAAAAAAACCCACTCCAGTTGTGGAAATATACTTTTCAATCCCAGTTAAAGAAGCAAACCTCTCTGCCCATATATTTTTTGATAAGATGCACGTTCCGTTTAAGCTCCTCCTGTGAAATAAGATAACAGAATTTATGAAGCAAACCATGAAGAAACTTCTCATGACAACAAGCATAACAACATAATCAAAATATACCATTCTGAGTTTCATCGTTTATTTAAAAGTGGTATTAGTTTATATGGAGTGGTCATTTTAATTGAGACTGAATTCTGATAATTCCCATAGACCATCGTTCATCCAATTGGAGCCAAGGTACATTACAGACCAGTAATAGGACCCATGGAAAGCACGCACATTCCCTCACCATATGCCTGGGCTAATCATCGCCACCTACATACGCACATGCCTAGACCTCAACAATCACACAGAGAAGGACAGAAAAACAACGAACAAACTTAAAAAAGTGCAATTTGTAACCAAACGACAGATTCACACCACACAATTAAAGGACGCAATGCATACAAGCCAAGAAATAAGAAAAAAATTAGCTTGCCATAAACCACAATTTTTGTTCTAACTACAACAGAATAATTTTTGCTAAAATAATTAAAATGATCCCCAACTTTTTTTTGGAGGTCCATTTTAATCCAAGACTATATAAAGTGTCGAATATTACATCCCTTGATTCTTTGAATAGGATATAATATTTAGGTCTCTGTAAAAATTAATGAAAGTAAATAGATGGTGTTAAAAAAGAGTGAATATACAACTTCCTGAGTTTTGATTTTAGGATTTTTTTGGTATTTGATTTTGTACCCAAATCCTAAGGGAATGTCGGGGACGACATTTTTCTATGTGTAGGGTAAATTGTAATAAGTCAAAAATTTTCTTTTTTTGAAATGATTGTTTTTTAATGAAAAAATATGAATTTCAGTGTCGTGCCTTATCGAATACGAGAGAGGCAAGGAGAGAAGATTATTCGGGGCTTTTCATCTAATCAATTTTGTTTTGTTTTTTTTTATATAGTAAACTCAAATTCCATTTTATTTTCAATGACTTTGATTATGTATATATATTTTCTGTATAAATAAACAGAATGATATATTTCATACTGCATTTTAATTGGGTATTTGCATAAACAAATAATTGATGATGTTAACACTTATAAAATGTCTGATTGATGTTAAAATATAATAACCTCTAAGCGTAGGGGGTGGGCTGATAGGCTTTCCTTTAAAAGATGATTTTATGTGTTTACTCTCGGTTGTAGCCTGTAACAGAAAATCGATTTATGCAGAAGGAACAGAAGTGACGACTCTTTATTGATTCAATGAAGCCATCTGTGAATGATAATTAATAATTTGAAATATATAATTGATTAAGATTAGATAAATGATAAAGTTGGATATGAATGATGAACAAACTGAAAAGCAGTTAGGACATAAAGATGAATTGAAATCACACAATAAAAGCGTATGTCCTGCCTTGCTAAATCATGCATTAATGCATGCATATATTAATAATACTGGATGACATAAACATATAACATTAATATCATTTAATAATACATAAACAAATGGATATATATGAATAGATAAGATATATTCCTTTAGTGATTAGAATGATTTTGGCATCGTTTTTACCAATTTATTGAAATTTATAAAAAATTATGATTAGTATTAGACAGGATGAACCAACCTTAATTTTTAGGGGGCAATGTTTATAAGTAAAAAATTATAGAGATGATTATATACTAATATTATAGTATATATAGTATATATTTATATAATATATATATTTTGTGAACAAATTGTTATTTGTACTTGAATACATAATACATTTTAAAATATTATCAAATCTTAATATAATAGATAATTATTCTTAAAAAAAATTTAGTTAACACATCTACACAATGGTGTCGGGGTCGAAAGGGCATAGCGCAGCGCCCTCTGACAGAGCTGACACTACCTCTGTCAGGGTCGCGGGATCAGGGACAGCGTCCCTCCAGCGGGGGTTTATATGGGGGCAGCGGCCCCCGGAACAAAATTTTGGTTGAGGATATATTTTAGAATTCTCTTTATTAATGTTATATTTGTACTTTGGTTCATTGAGTTTCTTAACAATAACATCATCTACACAATTTGTATTAATTATATTCGGTAGGTAATTGACCTTAAGACCCATCAGTATTTTTAAAACTTAAGGGGAGCAATTTGCCTATACACTCATCTCTAATAAACTCCTCTACACAATGTATATAATTATGCTAGGGGGCAATCGCCTAATATCATAGTATTTTTTAATTTTTTAGGGGGACAATTGCATAAATATTCCTATAATCGGTAAATAGTTAAAAACCTGGAGGGAGACAAATTACCTAAAACCCATGTTAATAACCAAAAAAGTTCAGTTTTTTTAGGGGGCAATTCCCACCCCCCGCCCCCCCCCGCTCCCGGGGAACTTAATAGTTTCGCCCTGATAATTAAGATGAACACATAACAATATTTGATTTCTTAGTCCTTTGCATGTGAAAGGCTTTAATGAGTTTTGAATTACTACTGCTTATAAGCTAATTATGTGATTTTTTAATTATTTTTTGATAGAGAATCGGGTCAACCAGTTGGAGTGTGAGATTGATAGATATTCTTGAGTTTTTCTTTTAGATTTTGTTCTAGCATTTTCTTTTATTCTTTTTTAGTTCAGAAGCTTGTGATTAATTAGTGATTGTAGTGATCTCCTAACTAGATAAATGATTTTTGTGACTTAAAAGGCAAAATATCTTGATTCTTATAAAAAATGATAAATAACCCATAATCAAATTTGAAAGATTATAAATATATATATATATATATATATATATATATATATATAAGCAACATGTTCTTCCACCAATCTATGATTTCGGGCTTCAATTTTAAATACAAATCTCAATCGTTATGTTATTTTCTTTGAATTTTAATGATTGCATACAATTCTAAACACAAAATTATTCTTATAAGTAGATCATGCATGAGTGAAGTATCTAAAGAGTCATAAGAATACCAAATAATAAGTTAGGTTCTGAATAGTCACCCTAGGCCAAGATTGATTTTGTTATAATTCTAGAGTTAAATTGTAACTAGAAAAATATTTATGGGAACCCATGGGATCATTTTTCGAAATGATAAACTAAACTATTTGGGCATAAAAACTCCAAATAACTTCAATTGTAGTCTCTCAAATTTTACTTGGATCCTTTTTAATTTTCAATTATTTTTCTGCCAAAATAATTCATCGTCATTGAATAAATATCTAATAAATTCAATCATTTTTTTAATATCCTTTCTATTCCAAAACAATTTTAAATGTCACTCTTAATTAAGACATTTATAATTATAATGATTCTTAACAGAAAACTATAACAGGAAATTTAAATTAAATTATTCTTTGAAATAAAATATTGATAGGGTGCACTTAATATATGTATATTTTTACTAGTATATATATAATACTTTAACTTTATAAGTACATATTTGATACATGTACATAGTTCTAGACTCAACTCAGATTTGGCTCAAGTCAAATCAAAATTTTCGTTTTGAATATAGGCTGACTGACTAGAACTAGATTCAATATCGCCCAGAGGTCAACTTTATCGACAAAAAAATCTATGAAAAAAATGAACAAGTAAAAGCTCACTAAGACCTGCTCTGAATATGTAATCCCAGGGCAACGAGGACCATGTAGCAATTATCCATGGAAATTATACAGTGACAGCAAGAAACAGTACCTTTAGCAAATCAACCGAATGACACATGTAAAATGAGGATCTTAGCTCATCATCTTTCAGCGAATTGTCTTCCAACAAATTAAGCATCAACCTCTGCAGTTCACAAAGTTTTGACATATATGTTTAGCGTGTTAGACTTACTCTGCAATCGCTACATGCTGATAGTTTTGCATGAAGAATGAAAATCTTCATACATGGAAATAACAGGAAAAAAATCAGTATAATTAATTATAATTAAAATAAAAAATAAATAAATTAAAAAAAAAACAGGAAAAAATCAGTCGACTTGTTGGTTCCATATGGCAAAAATATTAGAGTAAAAAACACAATCACATAAGCATGCAAAAAGTATCAGAGCATGCAGTTGAGAAGGTAACTTTTAGCAGCAAAAATTTAAAAGAATAAACTGTCTCAAATGAAGCCTAAATCATCAGCATGCTCACAAATATTTGGGCCTCAGAACCAAAGAATACAAAAGGCCTAAGCGTTGGATAGCTCAGGGAAGAACCCACCCTTCGATAGTGGTAGCAACAATTATCAGCAACATGTAGCTCAGACCATTTTCTTGATTTATCCAGCTCATCAAGCATCTACAAAATTAAGCATTAGCAACTACGTTGACAAGGCCAACAGAAAGAAGAGTTGTTTTACAAAATTGAAAAAAAGTAGGAGAGTACTAATGTAGATCATTCAGTTAATAATCCAATTAACAAAACATACTAAGATCAAGCCAACAGAACATAAACACCTAAAAATCACCAACTAATAGGATCATAGTTAAATTTGAAAATAAAGGATTAACTTCATAGAGAAACCTCCCAAAAAACACTTCACACCGCACAAATAATGAAAATTGGTCCTTGAAAAAATGTATTGTAGTAATTTGGGAAGGTTTTGGGATTTCATGGTAATTGTCACATCGCACATTTGGAAAACCAGTAAAGATGCAAGACCATATAGAGGTAAGGTACGCACAAGTCTGGACTTGAAATATTTACTTACAAAACAAACATGAGAATTTTTTTGAGGATGCCATCAAAAAATGTGGAATGCACAATTTGACTAAGTTGATGAAAAAAGATAACAATGTCTTAACCAAGGCAATTTACTAACCTGACCCTTGTTCATGTAAAGTATAAGCCAACAACGGTGACTCCACGCACGGTAATTCATCTTTGATTTCTGCATAAAAAAAAATATTTATAGCATAGGATGATAAGACTGTCAGAACCTTGATCACCCACAGTTGTAGCAGTTCAATAACATAAATAGCTTCCTATGGAATCGTAAGTTAGATGTATACGGCCAGCAAGGCTAAGCCTGATTTATTAGAATAAACAAAAAAAAGTAAGTTTCTCACAAGGGAAGGCATTAATGGAAGTTCATTCTCAAAGGCGATAGTGAAATACCACCTAAAAGTACAGGAGCACGGGATATTGAAGAAGAATGAACCATTTATTAACTGCCAAAACTAATTTTCACAGTTGACACTCTCATCATCCTGTTAGACCGGTCCAACCGGTCACAGGAGGAACAAAGAGAGGCGGAAAAGTCCGCCTCTCTTGTACGTTGATCAAACCGCAAGAGCAACCGAGCAGTTTAGGAAGATTTTTTGAGGGAGTTAGAAGGGAAATTTGAATGTAGGGGACTGTTTAGATATTTCATTTTGGATTGTATGCAAAATAATTTGTTTTCCTAGGGTTAGTGCATCTTGAATTTGGCAGAAATTTGAAATCTCTTAGGTTTTTGGGCTCTAACGGCATCTAGAGATTTTGGAGACAGAGATCATCCCCTCGAATAGAGGATCAATTGTATCTTGTTATTTTCTTTCCATTAATTTGATTATTCTAATAAAAAAAAACTATTGTTTTTCCGATTTTTCCTTTGGATTGGTTGAAAGTTCTCGCTATTTTTTGTTGACCTTTGTACAATACCCAAAAGAAACGAAAATGAAATCATACCTTAACCGTTGGATCCATAATTTCTGCTGAAATCCCGGTTGGAATCCTCGTATCTGTCGAAGACGTTCGCGAATCCCGCTGATTCGGCGCCGCTCTTGTCGAATCCTCCGCTATTCCCGTGAACCTGCCTCGATTGAACGACCGCAGATGTCGTTAAATACCGGACCTCCATAGCTCTTCGGCACACACGATCCGAACTCCTCCCTCTTTCACGCTCGTTTCCTTTCGACACTCTCCCCATACGAAACCTCTGCTCCGACCGAACCCCAGGCTCGCCTCCTCCACGCGAAAGCCCTGCTCCCGTCACCTTCTCTGTCCGATCCAACTCAAGAAGCCGCCGACCCTTCCTCCTCCGGCTCCACACAGAGAGAGCCGGAACTTTGTTCAGCCCACGACCTCCTTTGTCCGACCCCATTCCCTCTTCCATCTCCGACCTCTCGGCCGACCGGCACAAACAGAGAGAGAGAGAGAGAGAGAGAGAGAGAGAGGAGAGAGCGCCTACCTCTGAAGCCAAACCCGATCAACCCCACGGCCTCCTGCTCCTACCCGACCTCCCTTTACCTTGCCCGATCCAATCCAGCAGCTGCCCCCTTTGCCTTAGTCAATCTTTAGGTATAAATATTTTTTTTCAAGATCGTTAGGTTTTACTTGAGATCTTCAAGTGTTTCCTAATTTCTGGGCTGAAATAGAAGTCTTCCTCACTGAATTTTGCTGTGTTCTGTATTCGATCGTGTTGTTTTTTTGCTAATTGGATGTCAGAATTTGCGTCAAACTTGCGGCTCTTGCTATTAGAGCCTATATCTAAGTTCTCAGTGCAGGAAGAAAGGTGTAAGTGTTGGAAGGGGAGATCGGTCAACTGAAAACTGAAATTTATATCTCCACACTCAACTTTCAGATGTCAAAAGTAAAATTTCAGCCATCCACGAGAAGATGGATGGGAATTTTTCCAACCTGGGGAGATGTTGAAGAAGTTATTCGAAGGCCAATCTAAAACATCGTCGTCAAAAGCGAGGGCAGCCTCCAGCAATGCAGTAAGCAGGGAAAACTCTAATCTAATAAAGAAAAGGGAATATCAGGAGATGGAAAACAAAAGGGAAAAGAGAGAATGCCTCTCATGGAGCCTGTTCCAATGGGGGAGTTAGGTAGGGGGTATGTGGAGAAGCATGAGGAGGTGGAGCATTAACAAAGGGGTGCTGAGTTGGAGAGGATAGGGGCAGAATTTGAAAGGGAAAGGAGTAATTATGACCGAAGAGGGGCTGGAATTGAAAGGAGAGGAATTTATTATGATCCAAGGGGTGCTGAATTTAAATGAAGTTTGGGAATTTGATGAAAGGTTTGGGTATAAGTGTAAAAGAGATGATTGAGACACTTGGGAGGAACCACCACCTGGGGAATGGGAAATTACGGAGGAAACAGAGGGAACGGAGGCGGTCTGAGGGTGAAGAAACTGAAGATGTCAATCTTTGAGGTGGAGGATGTGCCCGGGTGGATCTACAAGGTGGAAAGATATTTCGCAGTCAATGGGATGATGGAGGAGAGACTGACAGCAGTGGGCCTATGTTTGTAAGGGAAGGCTTTTTCTTGGTACCAGTGGAGGGACATGCTATGATCCATATGAAGTTGGAGAGAGTTCAAGGATTATTTAGTAGAACATTTCCAAACTGACAGATAAGGAGACTTCTACAAGTAGTTCTTCGACTTGACACTAGATGGTTCAGTGATGGTGTACCGGGAGAGATTCAAGTACCATGCTAGCCGATTGGACTGCCTTCCTTAAACAGTGCTAAAAAGAGATTTCATGAAGGGACTGACACCAAAGATATGGACAACGGTTAGAGTAATGAGGCCTCGAGATTTGGGAGAGGCTATGGAGCTAGCTCAATTGGTGGAGGATCAGATGCACCTGGAGAGAGAGACGGGTGCCAACAACTCAGGAGGTCCAAATAGGAGGACCACTACCTTTCTGGCACCCAAGGAGCCGACACCGAGTACTTTTCAGGAGACTTCGAAGGAGAAGACTGTAGGAGTAAGACATGGGGATAACTTCAAGAAGCTTACAGAAAATGAATTACAGGAAAAGAGCGAAGGGGCTCTATTTCAGATGTGACGAGAGGTATACGCCGGGGGACAAGTCTAAGGATCGAACTCTTCAGGTTCTTACCATTTGTGACGAAGAGGGAATGGAGGGTGGTGTCGTCTTTCTATTTTGCGGACAAGGTGAGTCTTTAGGAGGGGAGTATTGTTAGACCAGTCCATTGGACCGGTCCAGTCGGTCCACACGAGACCGGCTCGGGCGGAACAGAGGCGGAATTTTCTGCTTCTCCTATACGCCGATCAAACCGCAGGAGGCACCTAGCATTTTAGGAAGGTTTTTTGAGGGAGTTAGGAGGGAAATTTGAATATATGGACTGTTTAGAGATTTCCTTTTCGATTGTATGCATTAAATAATTTGATTTCCTAGGGTTACGACATCTTGAATTTGACTGAAATTTGAAATCTCTAAGGTTTTTGGGTTCTAGCGGCGTTTAGAGATTTGGGAGAGATAGATCCTCCTCTTGAATAGAGGATTAATTGTATCTAGTTATTTTCTTTTCGTTAGTTTGATTATTATAATAAAAAAACTATTGTTTTTCCGATTTTTCCTTTGGATTGGTTGATCGTTCTCGCAGTTTTTTGTCAAGATCGTTAAGTTTTACTTGAGGTCTTCAAGTGTTTCCTAACATATACTTCTACAAGTTTAGTAGCAATGAAAGCATAATGCCATACATGAGAGCATCGTATTAAAACATGTATCTTCAAAGATGACCTATATCATAAATCATATATCATTTCTAAATTAATGAAGCATATTTAACTTTTTTACATAATTCAGGCAATAAAAGTTGAGTAGATTCATCACTATAATCTCATCAATAAGGCTCGCAAAATTAGTATCTTCTTTCCCTTAATCAAGTGTTTATGCAACTTGGATACACTCCCCAGAGACTTGAATTAATCATGTCAACTTAAAAACATGAGACTGCAAGGAATTTTCTCCCTCATCCAGAGACTTCAAGGGTCATAGATAAAGAAAACTTCAACACCAACTGAGTCTGGATTAATATTGCCACCACTAGCTGGTTGACAAGGAACATCAGAATGATACTCTTAAGTAATATAGTATAGTCATAATCTCAAGAGGGGGAAGTAGGCATAGGGCTAGTCCCGAGCGGAGATGGACCCATAGCTGACGAGTCGTCTGGTCAGCCTAAAAACTATTGTAGGAGGCTTGAGGATGCGTTGTCACGAAAGGTGACTAGAGGTGTTGATAGGGATGATGGGTATCTGAGCCAGAGGATGATAGTGGTGGCTACGTGGAGTGTAGGGTCTCTAAGGTGGGTGATTTTCTGTGGCTAAGTTTGACGAGCTCGAAGGCAATGACCTAATTGAGATGAGAGGCAATCTATGAAGAACTTCTTAGTCACTTAGCATAAGTCGAGCTCCTTGGCGGAAGTGGGCAAGTAATGCTTGCCATTCTCCTTAAGCGAGTTCCTCTGTTGGTACCAGGCGAGTTCCTTGAAGGATATGCTCGTAAGAGGGGGGTGCCCGTCACGACCCGATTGCTACCTGTAGCAATACCTGAGAAGGCAATCATGAATGTACAAATACAATATTCTTAGGCATTTGCATAGTGTCAAGCGAGATCTAGCCATCTACCATGCCACTTAGATTCACTGACTATGCCTAGCAAGACATAGCAAGAGAAGCCAAATTTGTTGGGGTTTTGCAGATAAGCTAGCAAGAAAGCCAATATGAAATGCTAGCACAATATTTAGCAAATTCTAAATTACTACCTCAACATGACATGATTTAAACTAAAGGGTGGGTTTAAGAAACATAAATCAACATGATTTTTCAAACCTACTAAAATTAGCCAAAATTTAGATTTTGAAACTAGGACTAAAGACAAATAGGCTGATTCTTCAACCTGTACCCAAAGACAAGTAGCTTGAACTTTTTTGAACATTTAAGGCAAGCATTCTCCCCTTCCTAGCTGTGCTCCCAATGCAACAAAACCTCAACATGTACATAAATTAATTAAAAGATCTCAAATAAGATTCCTGAATCAAACATAAATATCATCATCATTCCTCATTCCTCCACGAAGTTCAAGGCACAATGAATGGGAATACAACCATGGATAGCCTCCAAAATGGATTTCAACATGTAGCCAAATCAAGT